ATCTCTGATGGCACTTCCCCAGAGAGTAAGGACTAACAGGGCTGCAGCTCACAGGAAGCATGGGAGCTGGAGAGTGCAGAAAAGGCTGGGGCAGCAGGCTGGGTGAGGCCACATGGAAGACTTCTAGTCCACATGACAGGTTCAGGTTTATATTCTATAAACTGCACTCTGGCAGCAGTGGACAGCATGGACTGGTCGAGTTAAGACTGGGCCAGGACAGTGATGAGAACCTTCACTTTGACAGGAGAAAGGATGAACCTAAGGATGATTAGAGACGAAGGTCCAGGAAATACACTGTGAGGTGCCATGGCTGGCAGAGATGGAAAGGACAGGAAGAAAGAAGGTGGCAGCACTACTGGCTTAGGGAATATGGGACAAAGTAGTCTGGAAAGAAGTGAGTTCTACTTTATACAGGACAAACCTCAGGTGCCCAGATCACCGCCATGTGGCCAGGTTTCACAGGTAACTGACTCTGCAAACCTGAAGTTCTGGGTAGACCAGGGCTAGAAGAGATGAGAGGCAGCCTCCCGCACCAGAAGAGTCAGAAAAGCATGCAAGAGGTGGCCAAGGGACACCTGCATCCCCCGCTACTTCCAACTGTCTACCGCCTGGCTCCCCAAAGCCCAGCCTCTTCTGATGAGTGCACCTGTTTCCATGGCTCACAAACTTCCCTTGGGAACCTTCACGGATATTCCCTTCCTCCCCTCCCATTTCCAGCTAAAGGACCACAATACAGAATCAGGGTCGGCGTATTCTCTGTTGTATGTATTGACTAGATGATGCTTCTGGTTTTCTGCCTCCCTATAAGTGAGGAAAGATACCTCACCACATACAAGATGAGTAATTACCTAATCAAAGATTACTTTTTATTCCTAACTAAAAATTAATTCTGGTGTTCTATGCAGAACAAATAGTTTTGAGGTTTAAAAAAATGAATAGTGAGATACGATTGAACTTTAAAGTCTCTATAATAATAAAAAAAAATCAGTTTAGCTACTTGTAACTACAAGCTTTCAGTTTTTCAAAGAAAAGCAGTGGTGGTTAAACTTTGTATCTGTTGTTGTTTAGTTGCTAAGTTGTGTCAGATGCTTTGCAGCCACATGGATGGTAGCCTGCCAGGCTCCTCTGTTCATGAGATTTCCCAGGCAAGAATACTGGAATGAGCTGCCATTTCCTTCTTTAAGAGGGGATCTTCCTGATCCAGGGACTAAACCTGCGTCTCCTGCATTGGCAGGTGGATTCTTAGTCACCTGACTCACTCCTGAGTCACCAGGGAAACTCCTTGTATCTGATATTACTATTTTATAAAACTACTCCCTGATTTGAGTGTTATAACTGCACATAAGTAAATAATACTTTTTGAAGAGACTTTTTTCTGAAGATCTCAGAAACAAAACTATAAAAAGGAACTTAGAAGTACAGTTCACTTGCCCCTCCTGCCCAAATTTGTTTTGCTTTTTTAACCCTTTCTCAGCTCCCTTCCTCCTGAAATGATGATATACTTTATTGTTTTTCCAAGTGTGTAAGCCTCGAGTCCTCATCTAGACCCTAAACTCTATGAGAAACAGAATCTTTACTCTCGTGTCGTCACAGCACCTACTGCTTACATACAGTGAGCACACAAATATTTTTTACTGAGAAAGGCCGTCGACTCCTACAATTGTTTTCCTCTTAGCTTATAGTCTAGTTAGAGGAGGAGCTATATACAAGAATATGGTTCTGGAAAAAAATTATAATAAATTCTCTAATTCTATGTTTTATATAAAATTTTGCCTAAGTGTCCTGAAGTTTAATGCTCCATCTGCTACTGAAAACCTTTTCAATTACTTGGCTAAAAAAAGAAAGCATTTTGTAGCAGGAATCCTCCACTCCAGCCATATTAGTTTTACTGCTTTTACAATACGCTCATTCCCAAGTACAAGCAGTTCTCACACCAAGTCCACTGAACTTAAAGCAGTCTCCCAGTTTTTGGAATTTAACAAATATCATGCTCCTGTGACAAGTCTGTTTGCGATGGTACTTACACATTGGTTTTAAATTTATGTGGTGTGGGCATGGGATTTTTGGCTCGCATTTCTAGCACTTCCATGTAATGAGGCTTCTTCTGCGGCCCACTCCAGAGGCTGGCCAAGTTCTCAGGACTCTGGTTTCCTTCTGAGTGGTGTTCAGTGGGGTCCGCAATTGTGATCCTTCGTAATCTATCAATGAACAGGTTGTCTGAGCTGCCAGGATGATCCTCCACTTGACCTAAGGCACAATACTGAGGGAGACCCTCACTAGCTTCAGATAAGGAAGGCGCTGGGGTTCCGCTGCTAGAAGTTGGGTGCTCACTCACTGTGTGTTCAGCCTCAGTTGCCTCAACATCACCTCCACGAGTCAGATGTGCCAATCCCTGTTGTGAGTTTGTCTGAGATGATGTGATGTTAGCTACAGAGGAACAGCTAGGAAGGGGTGATGAAGTATCAAGTATCTGGTCAGAATTCTGGGCCTTATCTCTGTCCCCAACAACTTCAATCGCTTTTTGCCTCTCCTTACAGTGTAAGCTAACAGGATAAAAGAGTTCACTTCTTCCTCGAACTTCTTCACGTTCTGCAATAGCAGCTTTCAGTTTGGCGACAGCATCTGAGATCTTTTTACCTTTGTCGGGCAATTTGCAAATGAATTTTCTACAAAAGGAAAAGAATAGGTATACGTTACATACAGCCATGTTTTTAAAGTTGAGATATACAAAGTAGTATTCTCAAAAGGAGAAAAATCGACCTTTAAGCCAAAAAACTGATTTCCAGCTGCCCCAAAACAGGGATGAAATAAGAGACTCATTATCCAAATACCCCTCAAAACAAGGGACGACAGGATGATTAGGGACTATGTCTCGTTTGTCTCATCTATTAACAATTAGAATTTCTACAAAAGTATTTTAAGCATGATATTAATATAAGACATCCCCCAAATCAGTTTTTATAAAGTGTGATTTCCAAGACCTTCCTGGTGAGGGGAGGTGGATGGATCTGCAAGGTCAGAACTGTTTTATAATAACTAAGGTACTATTTGTCATTTTCACTCGCATTTTCTTGCCATGAGTACCGGGGAGTTTTCCAGAGGCCACATGATGTGGATGATAACATTGTTCTGATGGCTAATAGAAAGTGTGTGTTTTTGTATTCTTGTGTTTTAAAGATTCTCACTTGTAACTCCTAAGACAGTGATAACTATCAGTCGATATAACACGCATACAACAAGAGCTCTTCAAGATGTTCAGAGTTAAGGTCATGAGACTAAAAAGTTAACTCACTCATTCTCACAGTCAAAATATTTGTCTCTACCAGGAAGTCCCCAAGTGATCATTTACCACTTTAGCTAAGTGGCAAAAGTTCCTTTTCTGATTTCCTTTTCTTTAGCCATACAGTAAATGTGGAGGGAAGGTTACAGCTCACACCCTCTATTCTTTATGACACTACATTCATTCTCCCGATTCTATTAACATTCCTCCCAGTTGAGATGTCTGTATTTTCCCAACATTCTCTTCTCTCTCCAGCCTCATGACCACTTCTCCAGCTTTTAATCATATATAACTAACTTTTCCATTAACTCAGCTCCAGTAAGTAAAATCAATCTCAGACTATTACCCTCCTCCAGCTTTCCTACTTTTATTAATGGTGCTCCATACAGGTTGGAAACTTCAGCCACCTCTTGTCAACCATATAGTCAAATGATCCTAAGCCTGATCTAGTCTCCCCAATTCCCTTCTAGTTCTTCCCTTCCCACAGCTACCCTTCTAGTTCACTTTCTTACAATCCCCTTATTGGGGAACTTCTCTGAAAATACCTCCTAGTCTCTTCTGCCTCTTATTCCTTCAAACTATCCTGCACCAACCTGCCAAAATAAGCTTCCTAAAAAATCATTATTGTTACACCGATCCTCTGCTAAAATCCATTAAGTCTAACAATTAAGTGTGAATCAAACTTACTTTGCCTAATAAGCCACTCTTTTACCCTACTCTTCCCATTTCCTACAGTTCCTGTTTAAAAAAAAAAAAAAAGGATCTAGAGATGAAACTGACTAGGTGTTTGGGGCACTATTTGGGAGAAAGGCAGAGGAAGGATTTGGGATACAAACCCTCCCCTTGGAGAGCCGACACAGGCACTGAGTAAATAAAATCAACGAGGAGCTGATGAGGAGCCGAAACGCTGGGGAGCCAGAAACATAGGCGCCTGGCGCCCGGCTGTACGCGGTGGCTCTGTGACTGTAGGCCGGCCACTAGCCCGCGAGCCTGGAACAGATCTAAGACAAGGTGACCTTCCAGGAATGAGATCGGGATGGGGGCGGGGAGGGGCGCGTCCCAGGGTGCCGAACCCGAGGAACCCTGCGGTGACTTCGCGGGACCCAAGCTTACACGTTGCGCAAAAGTCTCTCCTGGCGCTTCAACATTTCCCGTAGCTCCGCCAAACTCCGCTGCCCCAAGTCCTCTGGAGTTTGGGGCTCGAAGCCGCGGGGCAGCGAGGACATTCTGCGGGGGCTGAGGCTGGCGAGGCGGTGGGCACTCGGCGTCCTCGGCAGCCCCCGCAGCTGGCGCCAGATCCGCGGCCAGCGGGGACTCCGGCGAACGAGCGGGAGTCGCCATTTTCCCGGAAGAACAGGTCGTCTTCTAGCCGAATCGAGCTTTATTGAAACGCCGGAAACAAACACGGACAGAGTTGAGGGAGTGGCAACCGGGGCGGGAATAGCGGGGTGACGTCACGCGCCGGCGGGGCGCTCTTTCTAGTCGCCTGTTCTTCACCTGTGCCTTGGGTCTCAGCTGAATATTCAGAAAAAAGTGAATTTCTGGGGCCCTGCTCTTAAGGAGTCTACTGAGTGTGGGCGGAGAGCAGACATTAATCAAGTAACAAATGGAAGAATTGTAAGACGGCTATGGGCACCGAGGAAGGAATAACCAAGAAGTGAAAGACACGTGGAAACATGAGTGATGAGTTGGTTAACCATTAGTGAAGTTGAGCTATGTACCCGGCACGTGAAGCCCTGGCCTATGGCGTGGCCTTCCTAGTTCTGGGTTTAGTGAAGACCTCAAACATTAATGTTGGAAGGATCATTCAGAACCATCAGCGTTTCTTAAGGCGACTCTGTGGCCTTTGAAGCAAGACTTTTACCGGTTTGCAGGACTGCCTCAGGTATTGCAAGATATTTGGCGTCTATTTGATGATGTCTGGGTTTCTGCCCTGTAGTTGGTTTGGCATTCCTGAATCCTCCTAACAATACAAAACGCACCCCCCGCCCCAGCACACACACTCACACACACACACACACGATTTCAAAGGCCCACACAGGTGGTGATAGTGAGAAGTGCTGCGCAAGCCAATGGAGAACCTCTCTTTCACAAGTACCCGTTTTGCCCTTAGAAAAACAAAGGCACAAAAACTGAAGTTTTCCCAGGGCACAAAACTAGTAACTGAGAACATCAGGTTTTAGACACAGATGCCCAGGTGGTCTTTCTGCCGCCCCAATTCAAAAATCTTACAAAGAGTAAGAAAGTTTTTAAGGCTGTTGAGGAAAGTGATGTAACTGCTAACTCTTTGGTGTTAACACCTAACTCTGCTCTATAGTTCAGGTAAGAGAGCTGGATCCCAAAGGAAAAAGTGGAAGCATGCTCTAGTCATAACAGACATCAGTTGTGAGGTTTGGAAGACCCTATAACCTCCAACCCCAGTCTCCCCCTTTTTTGATACGGAAAATTTACATTTGCGAGTTCTTTGTTAGGTGCTGTAACAAACAATTTCCTCCCAATCAGACCGAAGCTCTAGATAAAATATGAGGCTACTTCAGGAGGTACCGCTGAAACTGTGTCTGTATCCTTGCAATCTAGTCCCTTCTGATCAGTTTAACGTATCCGAAGTCTCAACATAAACTCTGCTTTGAAACAAGCATTTCAGTAACCTGCTCCATATCTTTCTAAATGAGAAATACTTAAGTAAGGCCCTTGTCAGGTATCTGTCCTGTGGCAAGCTCCCCCAAGGCCTTCCTCACTCTAGCCTTCTCCCTCTGTTCCCGGACCTGACCTGAAGGCCTTTATTCCCTCTCCACCTCCTCACCCATATGCCCCGGACCCCGCTGATAGTAAACCCTTTCTTCATACCTGGGCCACAGGCACCCTCCAAGCAAGGATGCTTTCTCTCAAGACTCAGAATTTTGCCCCCAGCTCTTTTCCTTTTGTGGAAGGCTGTCCATTTTCCCCTAGCCCATTATACATCTTAGTTAAGTCTCGCCTCCTCCCTGGGCCTTTCTAGATTTTTCCAACCCAGATTGTTCTCTGAGCATAACTGTAGTGCTTAGAACATACCGTGCGTCTCCTGGTGTGTGTGCATGGTGATTTCTAACAAACTGTGAAGTCAGGGAACTCTATCAAGGAGCTGTATTTGTGCTTTTCTGTCTCCCCTGAGGTAGGTAGCAGATACTAATTGATAGAATCTCCCTCTCTCATAATTTTTTCCCTGTCTTTCCCTCATATTCACCTTCTTCATTAAATACCCTTCTATATTAAAGATCTTAAACTTTTAATACAAATGTTGACCATAATTTTCGTGAAAATATTCTCAGTGGTATGGGATAGAATCTGTTACACAACATAGTTTAGGATTTCACGTTACTATAATACAAGTCTGAATTCCTCACAATGGGTGTGCCAACTATCTAGTTCTCTAATCGGTAACCAAGAGGCTTAGCAAGTAAAGAGCTTTTTTTTTAATTTTTATTTATTTATTTTTGGCTGTGCTGGGTCTTTGCTGCTCATTCTTTTCTGTAGTTGCTGCGAGCAGGGGCTGCTCTCTAGTTGCAGTGTGTGGGCTTCTCATCGTAGTGGCTCCTCTTGTTGCCACACATGGGCTCTCGGGCTCGCAGTAATTGTGACACGTGGGCTCAGCAGCTGTGGTTCTAGAGCCCAGGCTCAAAAGTTGTGGTGCGTGGACTTAATTGCTCCACAGCATACGGGATCTTCCCAGATCAGGAATCAAACCCGTGTTTCCTGCATGGGCATGAGTCATCAGGGAAGCCCCACAAGTGAATAAATTTGTCAAACATTATTCTGCATGTTTCAGTGAAGTTATTTTTTGGCTGAGATTAACATTCAAATCATTGGACTTTGAGTACATCCAGTCACCCCCTAAAATGTGTGTGGGCCTCATCAATCAGCTGAAGCCCTTTAGAGAACAAAGATTGGCCACACCCCACCCCCCTACCCCACAGGAATTTTGCCAGCAGACAGCCTCCAGACTTGAATTCTAAGTTCCTGGCTCTCTAACTTGATGGTCTACACTGCAGTGATAATTACCTGAACAAGTTCCTTAAAATGAATCTCTCTCTGATAATGGCTGATACACAAACACACACCCCCTACTGGATCTTTTTCTCTGATGACCCCTAACTAATGTTGTGCTGTTGCTAAATCGTGTCTGACTCTGCAACCCCCGTGGACTGCAGCACGCCAGGCTTCCCTGTCTTTCGCTGTCTCCCAGATTTTGCTCAAATTCGTCTCCATTGAGTTGGTAATGCTATCTATTTCATCCTCTGCCACCCTCTTCTTTTGCCTTCAGTCTTGACTCCTGACTAATACAAAGCCTGAGCCACCAGGGAAGTCCCTTGATGGGTCAGTCTTGCTGGCTGCCTCATCTGTCTGTCCCTCAGCACAAAACTTAACAAATAACTGACAGCAGGCTTGCCAGTTAGGGAAGAGAATTACTTTCCTACTAGGGAAGGAACAGGCAAGTGGAATTGGGTGTGAGAAAAACAGAGTGAAAAAAGGAAAGAGGAAGAAACTGGTAGAGAGAGATATAAAAAACTGGAAGGGGCAACAAGGGGAATCAGTTTCTCTCCACAGATATCAGAAATAGAAGGTTTCATAGGAAGCTTTATGCTGAGGAATTCACCCACAAATTCATCTCCCTTCCAGCTCTAAAATTTTTATACTTGTACAGAATGTCACGTTCCCCGCCTTTGCATTTCATTGTGATCCCACCGCAACAAAAGCTTTTCCTCAGCTACCCAAGAGTTTAGGTTGCAAAGTGCACGCACTCCACACTACAGGTAAAGTCTTACATGAGTTATCCAAACTGTTTGAAACAAGGAACCAAATTTTCAGCTCATATCTCTCTCTCTATCAGCAAATAGTAATTTAAAGCCATTTTTCAGGACTGTGGTTCCCCAGTGACAGACTGTGGAACTATTAAAATTAATCCTGACAGAATATCCTTGCTGCTTTCTCCAAGCACATTCAGGCCGTTGGTTTATGAACAGGATGAACAGACGGCCCATCCCAGAGGGCTTGAGGGAGGAAGCACGTTAAAATGGCTGCCTCCATTTTTGTTTGCTCAGCTGCTTGGAAAAACTAAGACTGAGGGAAATGGGATTAATCAAGGGGGCAGTTGCCCATGGAAAAAAAATAGGAAGACTCTGGTGAGAAAATCCCAGCCAAATAAGGTTCAAGTCAAAGGAAAAGAACACTTTTCCCTTCAGACTTTCACATGGTTGAGTGTTGTTTGGTGACAAATTTCTCATTTCAGGCCACCACAGTGTTTGATATTTCTCTTAGCATGGAAAGAGATAATTCAGGGGGGAAAAAAAATTATTGATGCGCTAAAGTTCCAGGTGATTTTACTTTGTAATTAGCAACATTAATGAAGATTATTGGTTAGATATGTGACTGATGGTGATTAAATAACACCTCTCTGTGAATTTTATTTTTATGTCTATTCAGATCCTTCGCCCATTTTAAAGAAACACTTGTTTATTTGTTTGTCCTTTTGGCTGCACTGGGTCTTCATTGCTGCAAGCAGGTTTTCTCTAGTTGCGTCACACGGGTGACTTCTAGTCTCACTGGCGACTTCTCTTGTTGCCCAGCACAGGCTCTAGGCACTCGGGCTCCCACAGTTGTGGTACGTGGGCTGAGCTACCCCGTGGCATGTGGAATCTTCCCAGACCAGGGATTGAACCGGTGTCTCTGCATTGGCAGGTAGATTCGTAAGCACTAGACCACCAGGGAAGTCCTTCCATGATTTTTCATATGAATAAACTCAGAAACCAGAAAAAAAAAAAAACCCTCCTTGAAAGAAAGCATCTACTCACTGCTATATTTAAGATACATATAACCCACAAAGACCTACTGTATAGCACATGGAACTCTGCTCATATATGTGACAGCCTGGATAGAAGGGGAGTTTGGGGAAGAATGGATACATGTGTATGTATGGCTGAGTCCCTTTGCTCTCCATCTGAAATGGTCACAACATTGTTTGTTAGCTACACCTCAATACAAAATAAAAAGTTTAAAACTTCAAAAAAATTACATTGAGATAATCATATGATTTTACTCCTATATTCTTTCAATATGGTACATTTTTATTAATTTTTAAATATTAAACCACCCTTGAATTCATCTTGAAAAGAAAAAAGAAAGCATGTGCTGATATGTGTTATAGAACATACAGACGTTGTAGCTGAGGCTCCTCTCCCATTAGGAGAAAGACTTTTTTTTTAACTTACATGTTATTGAAGGATAGTTGAGCTACAGTGTTATGTTAATTTCTGCTATACAGCAAAGTGATTCAGTTATGGATATATACCCTTTTCTATATTCTTTTTCATTATGGTTTATCACAGGACCTTTAATATAGTTCCCTGTGCTATACAGTAGAACCTTATTGTTTATCCATCCTATATAAACTAGTTTGCATCTGCTAATCCCATTCTATCCACCTCTGGCCACCAGAAGTCTGTTCTCTTTGTCCAAGTCTGACTTACTTCACTTCCCCTCTGCTGACTTACTTCACTTCCCTTTGATGGATTGGCTAAAATTCCACCGATAAGAAAATCACTAGGTTAACAAGGATCTTCCTTTGAGACAGTAGCTATGGGGTGTGGCCATATCAGACACTAGAAGGGGTGTGGCCTATCAGTCATTTACACTTGAGTGTGAATTTGTTCCAAATGGCTTTCTCACAAAAGGCTAGCCGAGGTGATGATCTACACTAAAAAGTGGGCTTTGTTAGAAGAGAAAGGGAGAAAATAGAATTTTGAGGCTTTGAAAAGGAAGAATAGACCAGAGAAAGTTACAACAGAGAGTTGAGGTGGCAGAAGGACTGCAAAAGACCACCTTTTCACAGTTTAGAGAATATGTAGGGTG